AAAGGGTTTCTACACTATTTGATTTTGGAGGGTATTCTAGGTATTTAAAGCGTGTTTAATTCTCGAGAAAAATTTAAGGAAGCAGGGGACCACCAGTAGGTGCAACTGAAAGTTTAGCATTTCGGACATCAATTTAAGTGATCTATCATCTTATTTTCAGTTATGGAATTGAAATTTAATTATAAATAATATGGTATTTTATGTAATTTAAAAATATCGATAATTAAAGGTTACTAATAGAGCCGAAACTAGTTATTTATTACTGTTTGCCATGTTTCATTAATTGATTGATTTTATAGTTTCAAATGCATGATAATACATTAGAATTTGTATGATAATTCGATTGTGTTTTCATGATCCATGTATTACTTGTTTTACGTGATTTATAGTTGATTGGGAAACTGGAAATTAAAGGTAAATGAAAAATTATTTGATTAAGTGAATGAATGAATGGTAACCTTACTGAATATCTTAGGAGATGGTGGACAGACGGGTACATAGGAAATCCTACAGTGAACGTTGCCTCATACCAGACGGAGTATTGAGGATTGGTAATTTGGTGCTCATATCTGACAGGATATCGAGGATTTGTAATTTGGCGCTCATACCGGATGGGGTATGGGGACGACCCGTTTTACCTTCATACCGGATGAGGTATTGATGGATGATATTTCTTGGCGCTCATACCGGACGGGGTATAGAGACGGTCCGTTAGTTGAAAATGTTAAAAAATGGTTCACGCGTAGTGGAGACATTTCTATAGACCTCAATGGATACCAGTAGGCTGATAAATGAGAAAATTGTTGTTCTTGCTGATTGAATATGAAATTATGATATGTTTATATTATTGACTCTATAGGTCGGTTTTAGAAATCTTATTATGGTAAACATGCGGTAAATGATTTTATTTATATAAATGAATTTTATCTAAATTAAGAACTTCATTAGTTGTTTTATGATTTCTACCAACCTTCATTTATGTGTCGACGAGTAATGTGATATTCTTACTGGGATAGTGTAGCTCACTCTTTCATTAACAATTTCAGATTAAGAGGACCAAGATCTAGAGTCCGATCCACAAGAGGGTTGCGAGTAAAACGTTCAGTTTGTTTACTTTTCATTTATTTCTTTGATTATTAGTTGTTCTTTTAGAATGGACATTCTCGTAACCCTATTGGGTATCCCGTTTATTGTGTAAGGAATGTAAACCTTAATTTATTATTTCGCTTCCGCATTCAATTTATAATTTATTTCATTTCAAGTTCACGAGACGTAACAAGAATGACCCCTAAAATTTCTCTTAACTCATGCCTCAGTTGCCTCTTAACCTTTTTAGAGAAAGAGATAGTAGATTTCTGAAATTTATGTACTAGACGAAAAAATGTGACTACATGAATAAAATCTTTAATACTCTCCTTACTTTTTTGTGTGTGGTACGATAAAAAAATAATATCATCTACAAACACATATGTGTTAGATAGGTGATACAGATCAATAGATTTTATTATCATGTATTAGTCTGTTTCTCTCTACTTAACATAACATAGATGAAAGAAATAAAAAAGTATTTACACATATTTTATTACTAATGTTTCAGAAAAATTATTTCTTTTTCTTAAAGGTGAATTTTATGAGATAATAATGTTAGAATAATCATGTTTAAATGTAATATTTTTTTTAATTAGTTTAAAATTCATTTTGTATTTACACAATTTTCTCTTTTTTTTTTTAATTTTTAACAATTATATTTAATTTTTAACAATTATATATAATTTTACTCTATAAAACATATATACATTTAAAAATTAAAAACTGAAATAATTTCTTACAACTCAGCCCAAATGATTTTTTAACTTTGTATAAGACTTTAGATGATTCATTATTAATAATTTGATTTTGAATTTTTTATATTATATTTGAAAGTTGTTGAATATTAAAATTATAATATTTATTGATAAATAGTAATATTTATCTAAAATAAAAATAAGATTTATAATATTTTCAAATTAATAGAGTTAAATAAATATAATAAAATTAAAATTTATGTTTCCATGCTTTAAAAAAAAAATATATTTCCACTATATTTTAGAATTATATTTTTATGATTAGAGATCACGTGGCAAGCTGGAGATGGGCCTCTTGGGCTGCTTGGGACACCAAAGGAAATTTAAATGCAGCAGACAACTCGACCTACTTTCATTACCTCACATACATGTATATATACACACACAAGTACATGTATATATATATATATATATATACACACACACACATATACATACACACATATGATATACATACATATGTAACATGTGTTCCACTTTACATTAATTCTTTTTTAAAATTAATTGTATATATCTTGTCACAAATTTAAATGAAATTTTCAATTGAATTTACCAACTATTCTCTTTTTTTTTTTTTTTAATTTTTTCAATTCCTTTTAGATAATAAAACGTTTATATTTAATTACTTTTTAATAGAAAAAAGTATCACTCCAAAATTAGATGGTATAATTATTAATGTTATTATTTTTGTTCCATTTTACTTAACCATGTTAATTTTTAGTGGTAAATCGGTATTTAACTATTAATTTTTTAATATTTATTTCAAACATATTGTCAAATTTGTATATATATTTAAAATATATTTATGTATTTATTAATTATATGACATATATATTAATTATAATACAGAATATAAAAATAAATAAACTATATATTAATCATACAACTATTAAATTAAATATAAATTAATCATTTGTATATATTCGAATTTATGAAAAAGTATGATGGCTCTTTTTATATTTAATTTTCAAATTGAAATGAGATATACAACAAATCTTTTTAAGCATGGTAGTAGAATAATTATATTGAACATGTATGCATTTTTAAGAAAATAATTAAATGTTTTGAGAAATTAAATTAATTGAAATCTACATTTCATCTCCAATTGAATTTCTCATTATACATTAACCATAATAAATTATTAGTTTAAAATTTAAATATTAAATTATGAACTTTGAAAATTATTATTATTTAGATATTAATGTTACAGTATTAGCTACAAAGATTAATATTTTAATTATTAAATTATTAAACTACAATATTTCAAAAAATAATAAATTATAAAATTTAAAAGGATGAATTACAATCAACGTTCTTATATAGTTATATTACAATTTTGGATTTTGGTTCAGTATTTTTTGGGATTTGGCACATTTATTTTTTAGTAGCAATTTTAATAATTTATTAGGCAGTAACCATTTTAAAATTTCGTAATTTTTAAAAATTTATAATTTGTAAAATTAATATATGAGAGTTATATTTTTTTTAAAAAATGTATATTAAATTTCAATTTTTAATAATTTTTTTTTTTCGGGTCAGGTTCTCTGCTTTAAACAGAACGTGATGGCTTCTCGGTCCACATTTCTTGCAAGCTACACAACGAGACCAAAAGCAAGGTAGGCAACAAAATCCAAGCTAATTTTATTCAACGATTCTTCTCATCGTCTCTCCGTTTTCCCCCTTTTCTTCTTCACTTCTGCTTCGTTTTCTCCGTCAACACCGCTCTTCCCTCTCGATTCCATTTCCTATTTCTGATATACACTTGTGTTCTTCTTCCTCAATCTTTCTTACCCTTTTGATTTTCACCGATTTTCTAGAGGACCCAGTTGTTTTTTTTTTCCTCTCATAATTTGTTCTGATTTGATCTTTATTGGTTTAGAGAGGTGTAGGTGGGAAGAGGAAGAAGAGATGGGGAGGTTGTTTGTGGTGAATCTCGAAGGGAAGATCTATAGTTGCAGGCACTGCAGGACCCATCTTGCTCTATGTGAGGATATCGTCTCCAAGGTTGTGAAAAAAAATAATAATAATAATAATAATAAGAATAAATCACTGTTTTTGGAATTTCGAGAATCTGATCTTCTCTGGTTTTTGGTTGTTTTGAGATGCTCTGGTAAAAATTTCACCTGAGTAGTGTCAATTTGTCTTGGTTTTATGTGGGTTTGCTTTGTGATGGATGGGATTTTCTGTTTATGATGATTTAGGTTAAACTTTGACTATGATGGATG